GAGACAAAGCGAAGTGACAAAGACAAAATTATTTGCTGGAGACTGTCAGGAAAATCGACTTAAAGTTTTTAATTTCCTTTGTCGATCTTGTAAGTACTCTACACAGCAGCTTTGGGGTAAACACGATCCAAAAGACAAAATGTAGCCAAGAAGATAAAGTGTGGTTAATTGTGGTAGAATTCTAGTTTATTATTTTTGTGTTGTGTTCATACTTAGTGCACATGCAAGTATTCCTTTGAGTTACGCATTGAGCGCAGAAATTAGGATTTTACAGTGTATATAGAGTTAGATAAACCCGAATTTTATATAAGACAGACCAAAAGTCACCTCGCACAAAAGTATTAAAACTTGCACAAAAATAGCCGCGCGCCGCCATATATGTTTTCTGTATCTCGCGCTTTCAAAAGTGGAGTGGTATGCTCGCGCGCGATGGATTCCCCACGCGAGAAAACTAGTAGGAGCCACCATAATATGACCAGAAAAGGTCGTGAGAAAAATGAAAAATAATTCCTGGATTCCCACCGACCAAAAGCAACTGGTTTAATTGAAGCCCCTCTTGCCAAATTAAAACTGGCTCTTGAGACACTAATAAAGTGTGAAACCGGTCGTTTCGCATATTGAGGTAGTTGTTGGTGGTTTGGTATCAGTTTGCCTTGTCCTCATCGCTGTCGCAGTTTCAACCCATTTTTCATTTAATCTGTCTGGAAATTCACTTTTTTCGAAAAAAGCACTGCTTACATAAATAGTGCTTTCTGAATTGGTCGAAGATACAGAATCGAGGAGATGACGCATGACACGATCATTCACCAATTTTAGCAAAATACCAACAGACACCAAAGCAAAACCGTAGAACTGTAGACTCTTATAGGACAGAAGAAAGTTACTTGAAGGCCTTGGAAGTAGCTTGCTTTGTTAACTTGAGACGAACTTGAGCGGAAGAAGTGTCGACGTTCCTAAGAAAGAGGATTTTAGACAACGGCAACCCAGTTGAAAGTCCTTATTTGAAAATCAGTTGCTTGAAGAAAGTGTACTCGATTCTCAGCTGCTATCTTTGGCTAATCCTTCATTTAAAGTTCAAGATATTGATTAAATATGGTGATTCGATATATTATCCTATAACTGTAAAATTTGGGTAGCTTACAAGAAACAAGATTTTAAAACGTGGGATAGCTCCCCCACTGAAAAAACCCACTTACACTTCTGCAAGCGATACTTGGAAGTAAGTAATAAGTTAAGACTACTAATGCTGCATGTTGAGGCGAATTAGGTAGATTTCCATTAATAGTTGATATCAATGAAAAACTTCTTAACTACATTATGCATCTTTTTGAGAAGGATAGAGACTCTATTGTCAAACAAGCATTTACTTGTATCTAAAAATATTCATTCTAATGGCAATACTAGTTTTCATAGTAATATTACGGAATTGTCCAAATCTAATAACCTACCGGATTTTGTTCCCAACAATTTAGATAAAACCAAAATATCAAAAGATAAAGTTTAAAATATTCCAATGAAATCGAAGACGAGATTCACTTTCCCTGCTATCACCCAAAATATTTTATGTCATTTTAAACAATATTTAGTCAGGGGTGCCCAGTTCAGCGAGGCTGGTTTGAATGGGGCCCTGGTGAAAAGAAAAAATGACACAAAAGACAATTTCCGTTAAAAAATGGAACAACTAAGTATAGCAAAAGTATTGGAGGCTCAATTTGGCTTGGATTTAAAGTGCCTTTTTAGGCCAAACCCAAACGTTTTTAAATCGTGCTCCCTCCTCAGGGCGAGAGTACGCGTGTTCCAGATCTTGGCTTCGCTGATCCTACATCTTAGAAATTAGAAATGAATTTCTCGCCCAAATACAAAGTCATCTCCATAGTTTTCAGCAACTATCTTATACTCGGGCCTGGTGATTAAACTGATGAACTCCGAAGATATTTATCTTAATTTACGATTGACGAATTCTACCTCGTCATCCGTCCTAGTCACTGCGGAGCTAGCTAGTCTGTTGCATGAGTGCTTTCCAGTCGATCGCCACAGTGTTAGACTCTGAGCAATGTTTCTCCATCCAGAACGTTATCTCCTTTTGCTACTGCCTTCTACCGCTCGGATCACGTTAGGTCAGATGCACTTGAGCCCGCCTGCTTTTTGCGTTGATAATCGGCGAACCATTTTTCACATACAAGCAACTCAATTATGCCAAGCACAACGGACCCTTCTGCATGGGAGCCTTCTGTTGAGAGCCCACTATGCGAAACATTAGCTCCAGCAGGTCTCACCATTGACCTTGAGCAGGTCGTTGGTCAACTCAACGTCAATCTTTTTTGGAGCAGTTATTCCAATTTTTCCCCACCGGGGAATGTTCCCGAAATGCGCGGGAAACCGCTTCACATTGCCCACCGGGTGAGAAGGATCGAAAAAGGCTCCGAAGCGATTGCTCCTCTTCTAAGGAAGAAGAGACAAAGACATCTCGGAAGGATTTGGAAGACCCGATACGCGCCTCCGAGGACGAGATTCAGGACTTGCTTGTGAGCGAAAATGGGGGGAAGCGCGAGCGCACAAACACCACATGACAACGCAAATGCTTTTAAAAGAGTTGACTGCAACCTTTAGGGACGAGGAAAAGAAAAGGCGGCCCATCAACAAACAATTCGCCGAAATGACCGACAAACGTTGGAGCAAGAAACTTGACCAAGAAGAGGTTTCGAATCCCTTGGCGAAATACGACCCCCCCTGGAAACTGTGTTGAAATATCTGCTTAATCTTCAACATAACGTAAAAACCAGGAAAATCTAACAAGATTAACTTGTAGACTTTTTGCTTTCGAAACTCTCTATTTTCGGTGTTTTTAGTATGGGTTAAGACGGCATTAAAATTCAGTTTGGATTTTTTTTGTCCAAATAAGCGACAAACTCCGTATAAAACAACGGATTACGGAAGATGCACATCTCCCCTACACATTGATAGCTTTTTCGTCTAAATTTAAGCAGAAGAAGTTGTAGACTTTTACCCTTAAAAACCCGAGGTTCAAAATTCGCGCGTGTTCAGACTGAAGTATAACAATGGTTGCCATGAATAAACAATGAGCAGCTAAACTTCATCGTTATTACCTAAATGCAGTCATCTGTAAACAGAGTGTTTATGCAAATCGGCTGACAAAATAAGGGCTTTCGACGCGCGAAGTTTGAATACTGATCGATACTGCTGGCTTACGTTTACGTTTTTAAACCACCAATGGATGTCGCCTATGTATTAGACAAAGAAAGGTTTCTCTTTATCGCTGTACGCTCAGTAACTCCAACCAGCCACTCTTCAAACTAAAATTCGTTTGTAAAAATTGGAATAGATGCGAACACTGAATAGCCTGTGTGTCGAACTTTCTTCCGACTGCTACTTGGATCGCTGATCTCTGCTCTCTCTTCGGCGGTTCTTATCAGCCTATATACGCAGCTATATGTTGCATATTCCAAACTCTGCAGAGGAAAATTGTTTAACGGAAAAAGAAAACCACACACTATGTCTGAAAAGCGACATAAAACCAAAAAATTGGGGAATTACCAAAATGTAATAATGAGAAACAGTCCCACCTTGGCCGCCATGTTTTTGTTTCTTCTCAAAACCGTTGGTCTATGGTTTTTGACGTAATGCTCATGATCAGTACATAAATCCGCTGGCAAGACCCTTGCTGATCGCTTTGCAAGTTGTGAGAACATCGTTTGGATTTCATTTAAGAGAATGTATGGGATGTCATAGCTATGATTAACAGCACTGTAAATCATAGTTCCATTCCAGAGATGATTTTAATAGTCCTATAGAAATCATAATTAGGATTAAGATACCGATGGAATCATATCACGATGTTTAGGGTACTTGTTAAATCATATTATGATTTGTGATGATGCTTACAGAACTATTACATCATCACATGAATCATCACATATGATGTATGATGTATGATTCCATACATTGTATGTATGATTCCATAGCCTAAATTCCTGTGGTTTTACCTACAACTTCGTATTAAAGCTTAGATTGAACCTCTGTTTAATAACAGCAAATTACTATATTTACACCGCCGCGAGAGAAGAGGACCGCTATTTTTTCGAAACCCTTCTACCTTTCCCAAAAAGCAGACTTGACATAGCAAAGCACAAATAATCTAATTAAATCGACCGTTAACCATTTCATTAGTAAATCTGTTTGTTCGCTCGTTAGTTTCTTTTTTGTCGCACTATGTATATTCTAATTTGCAAGTAGCAAATACTCTGTTAACGTAAGTAATAATCAGCCTTCTGGTGTTAGTGTAAACAAATGTATATGAGTTAGTTTTAGTGCTATCTATTTTTTCTTAGCCGCTTTCCTAAGCACTCTTGATGTGTTTCAGGTGAGTACGTTCCTTGAGATAGCTTGTGATCTTTTTCCGATCTATTTTCCATGTCTCATTTGACTTTTAGTGATCGTCAACGGAGCTCAATAACACACGTCTCACCTCGCCTCGCCTCGCTTCGCTCATAAAGCGGCTGTCATGCAGGCTAGTAAACAAGATTTCAGATGCTTCATTAATGTTCCACATGTGCTCACCTGTCAAATTTTGACCAATCGGAGATGAAAATGGGACGTAGAGCGTGACCACGCTAGGCAAAGCCAACTGCCTTCCCTGTCTGTAAAAACTAGCTGAATTTTCGCGTCCGAAGTCAGTTTGAAATCAAAATTTTCGTTGTGAAAGGCTTGAACCCAGGAGTCATTTCAAAAGTAGGTTGAGTTTGATCGTCCGGGTGAACGTAGTCCTGAATAGGACTGTTGTTGTTGAGAGTGACTAACATTTCGACAACCTGTGCGGTAGTCATCTTTGGAGTCAAAGTGAGTTGTATCACGTCCGTTTCACCCCAGGTAAGACTCTGCCATAAACCAAGATTGCTGCCCCTTATACCGGGGGCTCGCCGTGGACAAACTCACAAAAAAACTAGGGAACTGTGAAGATTATATACTCGTGTTTGCTTTAATTGACCTTCTTTTTTTTAGGAAAGCCTGTCTTCTCCGACCCAGATACCTTAAAAAGAGCATTCAAAGCCTGGCCAGCGTCTCACTTACTTAAGCTTAAGTGTGACGCGAAAGGGACACCACCACTTAAATACACCTGGCTAAAAGACGGAGAGCTTTTGAAAGGGAGACGACTGGACCCATACCTCAACACCTCAATTTGGTACCTTAAACTGAAAGATCTGGTACCTAAAGATGCTGGACAATACACTTGTATAGTATCCAATCGATATGGCAGCATAAATCACACTTACACGGTTAGAGTTCTAGGTAAGAACACGGCTGCATATCTTCGGTTCCATTGTAGACTCGTAGTTCATCTCTCAAGGGACAGCCGATTTTTGAGACAGTTTAATGCCCATTCTTAACAAACTTGATACCCCATATTAACAACTATAAAGGCACTGAGAAAAGGTTGTACTCGGTGTAAAGAGTTTTATAGCATTCAACTCATGGCAAGGCCAACACAACAGAGATAGCTGTAGAAAAAGTAGAAGATAGACCCTTAAGTCCACTTCTCTTTTCGAACAAAAGTGTAGGTATTTTACGCCTCCTTCAAATTGTAAAGGAGTGATGAAAGAGACAGGGCCAACAGCTTATCGTCACTGACAAGCGACGTGATCTTCTGACCACAGCTGCCTCTCCGATCTTATTAGACCCTTACTGGGGGTCCTGCCGGGGTTCTAACCCGTGACCTTTCCCAAACTAAACCGGTGCTCATCCAACTGAGGAAAAAGGCGGCTAACCTCCCAGGGGGACTTCCATATGAAAGTGACGGGTATGTTCGTCGGAAAATTAAAATTAAACCATAAGAGAGACCAATGTGGGTGTGGCTCAAGCTTAAACCGACCCCTAAAGGAGAGAAGACGCAAACAGACATAAGAGCTAGAGTGTGTCGTGTTCTTTTTTAAACATTAGACTTCTGTGCGTTCAGTGTCAAGGCGTTTTTTTTAATTTCTTTATGCACAGCCCTAAGCGATACCGGAATGAGCAAATATGGTGACTTTCCGTCCGAAGCATCCGAAGTGAGACCGAAATCTGCAATGTACACCCCAAACGAGACGAAGAGCACCCCCGTCACTTTTATATGGGCATCCCCCCGGGGCTAAACCCCAAACATTGATGCCATTTGATAGCTTCTCTCGATGAATAAGACAGTGCAGTTTTCAGCGAACGCTTTATCTTGTTGAAAAGATGCGAACCGTTTGACAATGCATGGTCTCTACATCTCTCAAACTGACTCCATAAAAGTTGAAGGACAGTTGAGGCCTGGCGTTTAACCGGGTGTTAAGGTCCTGACGAGGCAAAGGTTCTCGGTTTTTCTTTCAAAACGAATTACAAAGGGGTCGTACAGTACCATGTAAAATATTCTTGCTTGTTTCTCTTGGCCAGTTTGGCTATTTCCCGTCTAAGTTCTCCGTTACAATACGACTATTTCACGCGACTAACTCAGCTGTTTTAAAAGAGATCTGTATGTTTTAACGAATTTCCTTGATCGTTTTTTTAACAGATAAACCGCGAACTCGACCTATCCTGCGAAAGGACCTTCCAAAGAACACGACTGTAGAGATTGGGAAAAATGCTACGATGAAATGCCTTGTCTTGGTCAGTGGGACGCTTCCAGATTTTAGGTGGCTAAAATGGGACAAATCTGTCACATTTGTGTCGAAGATAGAAGACAACTTAGAAAGTGGGTCATATCAGCTTATAGATCAGCGATATTATCACTCTGTGCAATCGGGGGAGAGTTATGGTTCTGAGGTGACAATTACCAATGTCACAGAGGACGATTTTGGACTCTACACTTGTTATGCGAGTAATCACATTGGAGCGGAATATAACAGCGCATTCCTCAGCAGATACGTGAGGCTCACTACTCCTTCTAAACGAGGTAAGAAGTTGTAAGTTGTGTATAAAAGCATTTTATCCAACCTGTGTTAACCAAAACACGCAATTACCATGGCTCGAGTTATGATCTGAGCTGTCGGAATTACATGTACATAGAAAATATTACAGAGCAAGTCTTCTTCTGGTTCAATGGGGAGCGATGCAGTTTGGCCCCTCGCACCAGAGGCATGTTCGGTTTGTAACAGTAAGGTAAATGTTTCCCAATTTCCCTTAATACTCACTCTGGAGAGATAAAGCGTTTACTACAATGAGCGGACGTCTGGGTTTTACTCCATGTTACACTCGGCCAAGTTAAAACAAGGATGCACTAGACGTTGACGATCTTAAGGAAAACTAGGTGTCTACAGCTTTTCTGTTTTAGGAAAACCATTCTTCTCTGAAGCTTTAAAAAGAGCATTTAAAACCTATAAACTCATACTCAGTTAAGCGTAAGTGTAAGGCATAGGGGGCACCACTTTTTAAAAGATTTTGGAAAAGAGACAACTGGAAGAGTACCTCAACACCTCAATTTGGTAATAGTGTACCTAAAGATGGCGGAGAATCACACTTGTATGATATCTGATCGAAATGGCAGCATAAATCACTCTTACACGGTTAGAATTCATAATCATGGTCAGAAGCACAGTCGCATATCTTCAACTCCTTACTAGGATCGTATTTCTTTATTTGTTTGTTATTTATTATTCACTGGTCAACATTTTAGACGACAGCCGATTTTGAGACAGTTTGACACTGAGTCACAACAAATTTGATACCTCATACACTGAGGAGGGGCAAGTTGTGAAGTATAACTGGACTTTACTTTTTGCTTTTGCTATTTCTTTCAACCTCTGAAAAGTTAAGGTGGCTACGGTTTCCCTCTTTTTTGACAGTTTTGAATTAAAAAAACAAACAAACAAACAAACAAACAAAAAAGCAGGCCAAAGCCATAACAGCACTTTTGTAGAGTTGGATTATACAATGAATGCTTCACTTAAAACATATATTATTTTGTCATTAGCAGTTACCATGGCAACCTATCTAAAGGATTATATGGACCTACTTTTTAGCTTCCAGCACTGATAACTAGAAAACTAAGCAGGTTACCCGTACTTTTTGGGGGCGACAACTTTTGGCATTAGAAAAGGAAAACACAAAAAAAAAAAAAAAAAAAAAAAAAATCAGACTTTTAGCGAAAGGGGACAATAGGACATTTTTATTCAGTAGAAATTTCCTTCTGTAGAATTTTTTCATTTTTTCTCTGGCGGCTCTTTTTAACTCCAGCAAAATATTAAAGCAACATATAAAAATAGGGGGTCACCGGACTTGTTTCCTTGTAAAATACTTCGAGGTTTCACAAATTCCCACGTGTGTTCTCGTGGTTTTAAAATCTGAAAATCTGAATTCTATAAGAATATGGGTTATCTTATTCGAGGTGGGCGCTAATTCGAGGTTGGGCGCTTTTTCTAATGGTTTGACAGTATTCTATATTCATTTAGAACAACCAAGCGATCAGGAAAACAAAAATGGCTTCGCAGCTGAGCGGTTGTGGTTTCTTGAGCATAGAGCGGCATCGACGCTGTTCCGACACTTAAAAAATTTCTGAGTAGCAGCGCGTGACTCACGGGCACGATTTCACACAGGCTCAGTAGATACCCGGCAGTCTGAAAGCGCAGCTGGAAAGTTAAACCTTCTCTTTAGCTCCAGGATACATGTATACTAACCTCAATTAGTTTCCCAAAACAATCGAAGCGTCTCGCTTGGCTCAAAAAGCGCCTGTTATGCAGGATAATTGTATCATAGTCCCTTAATAGACCACGTGATCAAGGTGTTTGGTGCTTGATGAGTATTTACAACTGAAAACGCTCATCCCATTTTGTATTGTATTTACCATGCGAAAAGAAAATATCTCCTTAAACAGCGCATGGGCTACAGTCTTAAACAGGGTCAAGAAAAAGTCTCTTGTCTTAAACGGGGTAGCAAAATGAACGAATTTTGTCTTAAACAGGTTTAGGGTTTGAAAGCCTTGGCGGCTCACCTACACCCAAACTGCCCTCAAGTGCCCCTCCGGGCTTGATATACTGGTGGTGATGCTGAATCTTGGGAAAGCGTTCCTCTAATTTGCCAAATTTGTGCGAATTCTCCTCAAAATATTCTATCATGGTTTAGAATTGGTGAGTGACGAGAAACAACAGAGTTCTTTAACCAGCGGTTAGGTATCACTCGGTTTTGAGTACATAGCCTATGTCATGGTTGACTTACGGGCACGGTTTCTCCTCCGTCTAAATGCCCGCAGTCCGATTTCAACATAATGAGTCTCTTTAGCCCTCATTGAAAGTACTTCATCGGCCTTCAGGGTAGCCAAGCGGGTACAAAGGGTTTATACATAAAGCATACTGCCGGGTATTTAGCTTGGATGAAAACTTGCCCATGCTTCACGCACTGCTTCTCACGAAATTTTTCCAAGTGTCGCAACGCGTACACTCTACATTATGCCCAAGATACCACATACGCCCGAAATAGGTTATTTCGAAAACGAAGATTCCCTAGAACGAAGACGAAGACGAAGACGTTAGCCCTCCAAAATGAAAACCACCTTAACGTCTTTTCCTTCGTCTCCGCAGACGGAAGCCCCGAAAAACTGGAAGACTCCTTGCAAATAAAGGTTGTTGTTGTTGAATTCGTTTCAGAGAAAAGGCCAGTCAACAAATCAACAGTTTTGACACACACAAAAAAGAAATTCATCCGTCCGAAGTAGGTTGTTTCGAAAACGTAGACCCCCAAGAAGGAAGACGAAGACGTAAGAGCCGCAAAATGAAGACCACCTTAATTTCTTTTCCTTCGTGTCCGCAGACGGAAGCCCCCAAAAAGAAGACTCCATGATTTTTCTATTTTTTTTGTCGAGGATTTTGCCATGTTGTCTTTAAAAAAGCGCTTTATTTGAGTGTCAATAGAGAACTTAAGATAGAGACGTTTCCGGGGCGACCACGACCGGACTGGCAGAGCAAGCCCGGAACAGAGGTAGCCGTCGCTTCCCTCCAAAATTCGAACATTAAGATCGCCGTGAACTCAGGAGGACGGCGCCTTGGAAGACTACAGAAGAGGAAAATATGGCTTCACATAAAGAATTAAGAGAATTAATGCTTATTTGCTTGCATGCAACAACAATAACAACAACAACAACTTTATTTCCGTATTTCCACGTTAGTATGTGGTATTACCCGACTATTCTAAACAATTTTCAATACATACGTTTCGTTTATACGATACTCTAACGAAAAAAGTGAGCTAAAAACACAGTTAAAATATCGGAGTTCATACTTTTTGTCTGGATACTTTCATTTGGCACGTAGGACAATTTTGTCCATGTAAAGCTCACTTACGGTTTGCTGTTTGCCATATTGGATCAGATTGGATCTTGACTCTGTGACATGAAACATAGAAACATTACAAAGATGTAAGTTTAGATAACAGAGCTTGGAAATCGAGCTTGAAATGTGACTCAAAGAAAACAAGGACAATTTGAGAACGATAATCTGCAAAATTCTGGTTTCTAAACGCAACAAACCTGATTGAAATGAAATTTAAATGCTCACGTCCTCGCCACAACGCCAAACACACCAGTTTCACGTCGTCGACGAGAGCACGACGGCAATGTGGTGAGCAAGAGCATGCGCAGTATTGCACAAATCGTGACGTAACGTCCGGTTGAAGTTGCCGTCGCCCCAAAAACGTCTCCATCTTAAGTTCCCTAATGTATTTAGCACGAAGGTACTTATTGAAGACACTATTCTTACGTCTTCTTCTGGAGACGGGACTACCATTTTACGTGGTCATCCGAGCCACGCGAGGTCCTAGCCGTTAGCAGGGTAGGCTCGATTTCCGCCGCTCTCTAGGGTCCGGTCTTGTTCCTCCCTTAGAAGAAGGGATAGGAGCGCAAACTCCTTTCCGAACAGCGGCTGGAAATCGAGCCTATTTGCAGGGCAGAGCCAGTACCTTCATTTCTCAGTTGACCCTATTGGTCCGGATCCGGGAATCGAACCCCCTACCTCCTGATCCGCAGTCAGGCGTTCTACCAACTGAGCTAATCCAGCTCCGTTTTAAATCTTCCAGATAGTCATAAAGCATGTAATCCGGCAAACACATTTGTTATTTTTTCCCACCATTTTCCGATAACTGGAACTGAGAGCCCATGAAGACCTAATCCAGGGGGTCTCGATGGGGTGGTAGCTTTGACGCCTTGACCGTCACTTTTTTCTAATTTTGACGGTTGACAGTTAAATTTCAGGCGGTGTACGTCACGAGATTCGACCAATCAGAATGCGTCATTTGTAGAGTGATTTTCTCGCTTGGAAAGAGCCGTTGTCAGAGGTATATGTGATGAAATTTTCGCTTTATTCCAAGCTTGTGTTGGTAATTTCGACACTATACCGCCGTGGAAAGTTGTTGGAACACTTTATCTCAATAGCAGTTGCGTTACTTTTAAATATTTTGCTTTCTTGAGCGTTTGTGACACGTTTGAATTGCTCGGTCATGTGCAGGCCACCATGATGATTTGAGTGTTCTTTTTGCCTTTCTTCTTGGATTCATTGCTGGTTACTGTTAGCGGTTTTATCGAATTATTTTGGCCATCTTGTTACTTCAGCCTTTCTTCTTTGCAAATTTCGAGGTCTACCCGGGTCTACCCCCATTAGTTTTCCCGTTATGAGCCGTTGAAAGTGTCTTGGAATTAAGACATCGACTCAGCCAAGTGGCACAACTCCCTGGAAACGGGCTGAGAAAACATATCGAAGTGGAAGCCGACGTGAAGAGAGTAACGCCAAATCCAGGAAGGGTTTGTTCTATTTTAAACCAGAAAAGGTAAATAAGTTTGAATATTGTAATAACCTTTGGAAACAAAACATTTTTCATAACCCAGTGCGGAAACTGGATGTGTGACTTTAAAATAATTTCCATGCCGTGTGTGCTATGTGTATGCAAATCTTTATTTAAACTTAGTGAGGGAATAAATCGTGATA